AGCAATCTCCAGACTCGTTGGGTGCATCTCCCCTGAGCAATCTCCAGACTCCTTGGGTGCATCTTCCCTGAGCAATCTCCAGACTCGTTGGGTGCATCTTCCCTGAGCAATCTCCAGACTCCTTGGGTGCATCTTCCCTGAGCAATCTCCAGACTCGTTGGGTGCATCTTCCCTGAGCAATCTCCAGACTCGTTGGGTGCATCTTCCCTGAGCAATCTCCAGACTCCTTGGGTGCATCTTCCCTGAGCAATCTCCAGACTCGTTGGGTGCATCTTCCCTGAGCAATCTCCAGACTCCTTGGGTGCATCTTCCCTGAGCAATCTCCAGACTCCTTGGGTGCATCTTCCCTGAGCAATCTCCAGACTCGTTGGGTGCATCTTCCCTGAGCAATCTCCAGACTCGTTGGGTGCATCTTCCCTGAGCAATCTCCAGACTCGTTGGGTGCATCTTCCCTGAGCAATCTCCAGACTCGTTGGGTGCATCTTCCCTGAGCAATCTCCAGACTCCTTGGGTGCATCTCCCCTGAGCAATCTCCAGACTCGTTGGGTGCATCTTCCCTGAGCAATCTCCAGACTCCTTGGGTGCATCTCCCCTGAGCAATCTCCAGACTCGTTGGGTGCATCTTCCCTGAGCAATCTCCAGACTCGTTGGGTGCAGGAAAATGCTTTGCTCAGAGTACTGTACTGCCCTGTGTGGTCAATCATACATGTATGTGATTGCGACCGGAGTTTCATTTTGTATCGCTATCTTCACCCTTTTAGTATATGTTTTGTTAAGACTCTCATTATCCCGACTCGATTAATACACATGGTTCAATGTACCCTCTTCTCAATACACGGCTGACGATTGCTTTTGATGTGGCTGCTGCTGCTGGTGCTGGTGTTGTCCTATGTTCAGCTATTCTCAAAGGCGACTTTCCACCGTCGTTTCCGCTCAAGCATCAACAGAAAGACATGCGGCTGGCGCTGGCACTTGGTGACCAGATACGGCAGCCGCTTCCGGTTGCTGCTGCGGCTAATGAGGTAGGCTCGAGTCTCTTTCTCACTCTCTTTCTCTCGCTCGCTCTCTCTCTCTCTCTCTCTCAGTCTCAGTCTCTCTCTCTCTCTCTCTCAGTCTCAGTCTCAGTCTCTCTCTCTCAGTCTCTCAGTCTCTCTCTCAGTCTCCCGCTCGCCCGCTCTCTCTCTTTCTATCTACCTATCTCTCTCTCTATTGCTCTCTCTCTCTCTCTCTCTCTCTCTCTCTCTCTCTCTCTCTCTCTCTCTCTCTCTCTCTCTCTCTCTCTCTCTCTCTTCCTTTCTGTCTTTCTCCTTTTTTTTCTCTCTTCCATGGTTTAGTTTTCATACAGACAACATTGAAATGTCCATGGATGGGCAACGGACTTAGATTCGTGTGCTGTGAATCTGGTACTTTTGCCAGTGTTAAAGTTTAGCTGTGTTTGCAACCAACAATACACTGAAATTCCTTCCATAACTCCCACTCCAGAGCACGACAGAGACAAGTATCCAAATGTTCCACTTGCAGTTGTGAACAGCAGAATGCTCGTACTGATATGCATCTGAAGAGTTGGGATCCATAACCTGCTAAGGGCCGGGCCGTCCGTAGTCATCGATCTTTTTCACGAAGAGAAAAAGTGTCGTACATGGGTTGAGGAGAGTTTCGTTTTGAAAATTATTGATAGCTGGAAGATCAATCCATTCTAAGTTAGCTGCCCAGGCAATACCTTTTTCCGTTCATGGGGGTGGGTGGGTGGGGGAAGGTCAGAACTAAACTTTTTTCGTTTCGTGAAAATTATCGATAATTCCGGATGGCCCCTAAACGTCAAAAATAATACTTCGAAGTATAATAGAAACGAAGATGCCGTTACGAGCTGAAAGCGCTCTGTGAGCTGATTAGGATTTGGGGTCCTACTGAAATCGGGGAAAAATGGATTTAGCGGGTTTTTGCATTCCAGCTGTTCCAGGTACGTACAGTGACACGCATGCAGTCGTTTTTCTGTGCAGTAAATCCATTCATTCCTCGCTCAAAGCTTGTTGCCTTCTCGTTTCGTGTATTTTTTGTTTCTTTGTTGTTTTTGTCTTTCAGACGTTCAAGAAAGCTCTGCAGATGGGACTAGGTGATGATGACATGTCGGGTGTGTACAAGGCACATTACACGCCACTGACGGATAGAACGATGCCTCATCAACGCGGCAACAGTGCTGTTTCTCCCCCGCTCTTATAGATCACGCTTACCAATAACGTTTTTCCTGGTGAGTGAGTGTGTGTGTGTGGGCGTGTGTGCGTGCGTGTGTGTGTGTGTGTGTTAGGTTACATCAACTCAAACACTAGAAATACGGTCTCTTTGCTGCATACGTCGTTTAAACTGTTCACCAAATTTTCGGGCTTGCTCTATCATCATGGTGAAGATAGAAAAACGTGTGTGTAAAAAAAGTAAAGTAAATTATCGTGTCCGTTCACGGCTGACGGTTCTCATCTGCCTGAATTTTAAAATTAACCAGACAGACGAAAACAGTCTGGGGGGGGGGGGGGAGATCTCATGTCTGAACCTGTGCGGGTATGTCATCGTGTGGAGAATCAATTTTTTTATCGAGTGCAGTAAACCAGAGTCGCCACTGCGCCTAGAATTTTTTCACGGGAGGGGGTGGGGGTACTTTCTTCAACATCGACTTCTGAAACTTCTGCCGTAAAATTCAGACAGACATTTGTGTACTGATTCAGTAAAGGACAACTTTCATCTTTCGTGAGTCTCACAGAGAAAGGACGTAAAAAGCACCGGCACAAACATATTGTAATTACATTAGCAGGGAGTTTGCAACAATGATCTGTACACAATAGCTATAGGAGTCGTTTGAAAAGTATACCGGTGCCAGTATGCATTTCAGTCGAAGTATACAAGTACATGGATTGCCCATGCGCAGAGAGCGTCCCAATCCTGTTCCCAGACATCACAGTGTTTCTGTTATTCTAGCACTCGATCGATTTTGCATTGAAAACTTCACTTTGCGATGCTGGACATTTGGATATGCTGTAACTCAATAACTATTCTTTCTGTGTGTGTGTGTGTGTGTGTGTGTTTTGTACGTGTGTGTGTACGTGTGTGTACATGTGTGTGTGTACATGTGTGTGTGTGTGTGTGTGTGTGTGTGTGTGTGTGTGTGCGTGTGCGTGTGCGTGTGCCTCTCTAGGAAGAATCTATATCATCAGCAAGGCTATATTTATCCTGCCGTTGCTGCTGAGGACGATGATAATGATGTCACCTCATCGGATGTGAGTTTACCAACGATATAATTCAAGATGGTTCTCACACCACTTTCTTCTTCTTGCAATTGGTGTGTTGCACGCGACTGCATTTGCCGACGACTGGTGCTCCCAAACCAACTTGGCGTGTTTCCGCCTGCCACGTTTGATCAACCACCAGATGAATACTTATGGCCGGCCGGTCAAGCCAATCAACTGTCATTTCTATAACTACGCCGCGCGCCGCTGCTTTAGTCCTGCCGCTATGGCAACCATCCCTGCCGCTATGGCAACCATCCCTGCCGCCATGGCAGCCATCCATGCCGTCTTCTGCAGCAGCTGGAGCTGCGCGCATGGCAGTTGTGCGCCGGCATTTTGAGAGTTCCGCCGTGATGTGATTTTTATTTCCGTTGAATCCAAGTTCACTTTTTTCTAATGTAGAATCCAAATTGACGAAAAGATGTCTTTATTGCCCGAAGCAACCTTCATTGACCCACTGCACTGCACTGCGCGGCACAGCACGGCGTGGCACATCGCATGGTTGTGAAGTGTGCATTCTGCCGTGGCATAGTCCCTCTGTTGATGCCCCTTTCCACCGCTGCATGTGCCCCTGTCAATCACTCAGTGCACACTGCTCCAGCGGGTGGAGCACAGTGCTCCTGGACTGATTGCACTTTCATTTCTTCTGTTGCCTCGCTGGTGTATTACGTTGCGAGCACGCATGAGAGAGAGAGAGAGAGAGAGAGAGAGAGAGAGAGAGAGAGGGAGAGAGAGAGAGAGAGAGAAAGCGGGAGCAATTACCGAAAGTACGGTGTGCACAAACTGGCTAGGTCATTTCCTCGTTGTACTGTGCCAACTGATAGTTGTGTTGCGTTTGTTTTGTTTTGGTTGTGTTTGGTTGTGTGAGGTCCTACAATGTACCGTCAATTTTAATAAGTACCGGTAGATGGAGGCCATTTCTTTCTCCGTGCTCTCACCGTATGTGATTGAATAGCGCACACACACACACCGTGGCTGTCATCTCAGTAGTCCCATGCCTCTCAGCCAAACCTTCGCCTTCTCCTTTACAACCTGAACTATGTTTTGCCAGCCCTATAACAACGCAACTGCTCCTTTGCTTGCAACTAATTACCGGTACTTGTTCGCCGTCGGTGTTGCAGTCCTTCATAGCATAACTAATTCACTACTTTTGTTGTCACGTTCCTATCGTGTATGGCACTGTCACATTTCTCCAGCGTCTCATTGACCATGTTTGCTGTCGATCAGACACAATCTTTTTTTTTAACCGCGTGTATTTTGTGTCGTTGCTCGTGTGTCTGCCTGTGGGAAACGCTGGCCCGGGTGTTGCTGTATGCCGGCTTCTATTCTCCCAGTGTGTGTTCTATTCTCCCAGTGTGTGTTCTATTCTCCCAGTGTGTGTTCTATTCTCCCAGTGTGTGTTCTATTCTCCCAGTGTGTGTTTGTGCATAACTACATGTATATGTAGGTGTGCATTTGGCAGGCTTCTGCAACCAGCCAGTCAGTTTCGCCGGTCCGCGGCCTCGAGACAAGTCAAGGAGGCTCTCGTCACTTCTGGATGTGTTTCAACAAAACTACCTACTCACATGCACCGTACATGCAGCACAAGCTGACATACATGTACCCTCAGTTATGGCTAATATAACAACGGTTATTAACGACGTTGAAAGCTTAGCGATTTTCGCGTAAGTTTGCATGCATCTTAGCCTCTTTTCTGACCCTGATCCCCAACAATTTCCTCGCAAATTCGTGCCGGTTTATGAATCGCTGAAGTGTTTTCCCCGGCTGAAATTAGCCGTCTTACTCTTAGCAAAGAAAGCAAATACATGACCATGTACCGGTAAATGTCGTGTACAATCCGGTGAACTGACAAAGACTCTGAGTCGAGAACAAGATTTTCTCGAATGCAAATGTACGGTACATGTAATGTATTGTGTGCAAACACACAATACAAAAATTAGTTATGTCACGTTCTGTTTGCATTCCTCGTATATAATATAATTCTCCCATCGATGATCAACAGACAGGAGTGGTGGATTCTTGCTACTGTGGTCCATGTGGTCATTGGCCACATTCTTATACACATTCTTGAAGAATGTGGCCACCAGGGAGTCGCATGATATGAACGTACAGTATACGACCCCCCCCCCCCCCCCCACACACACACACAATACCAGGCCAGGGAGTGTATTCTACTACTCCCTGCACAATACACTACACATGATTGTGTCAATGTGTGGAGGAGGTATCAGGAGATCTACACTGCACTGACAATGACATGCAGTAAGCAGTGTACACAACAAATCACCAATGGCAATGCCAATGCATGGTCGACCAGTCATGCTAGCGCTAAATCTGTAAAAAGAAAAAAAGAAAGACCTTCCAAGTACAGTCTGATCTCCTATCCATGATCCATGCTATGCCGCCACTCGCCTGTACGGACTCGTAGATCTACTCGACTCCGCGATCTGATCAACTAGTAGTATATCTACAACAAGAGTCAAGACTACTGTATACTACATACCTGTAACCTGAGCTGATGACAGATGAAAAAAAAAAATGGTTTGTGACATTGTGCACAAATACTATGAAAATAGTGCAACAGACTAGGCTCGAAGTAGATAAGAATGATGGTGATACTTGCACCAACTCAGGGTAGCCTTCCCAGTAATCTTACGCCGGGTCACGGCTAGGGATTGTAAGTAAGTACTAGTTTAGCACATCACGTCCAGCCAGGCGTGGTTATTTCTTTGGCTTTGAACCGATCGCTGTCAATCAAGCCTTTGCCAGCATGCCAGTGAGTGAACAATGGTAAACGAAACACAGGAATGCATGCAACGCCGGATTCAGGCAGTAACCTGCACTTGTGACAGTGGCTAGGCAAGCGTAAGTAAAAATAACTTCCAGGGGCGGCGGCGTTGCTCGCCTAGAAGTATTAGGCCTTTCAATGGAGTCGTTGGTAGCGGCAGAAGCGGCAGTAGCGACATCAGATGCGGACGTCAACTCGCCTAGTAGTAGTCGATCTACTGGGCAGCAGTCTGGAATTTCAGCTGATCTCACCCGGCCCATTGATTGGCAGGACCTGGATAAGCGAAGACTGTACGTCATTGGGCCGTCCGGATTCATGCTAGTTCGCTTCGTGCTCTATCCGCCGATGCTGATCAAGACGCGGCTGCAGGTCCAGCGACGTGGAGCGCACTACACAGGATCGCTGGACGCGTTCCGGCAGATTCTCAAGTACGAAGGCGTGCGTGGGCTGTACAAGGGATTCCTGGTGAACACTGGCGGATTACTGGCTGGGCAATGCTATATCACTACGTACGAGATGTCAAGACATTACCTGAAACAGCTGCCACTCTTCTCCACTAGTAACACTGTACCCAGCCTGCTCGGCGGAGCTCTTGCAGCCATGGTAGCACAGACTATCGTGGTGCCGATCGACGTTGTGTCACAGCTACAGATGATGGACGGGCAACGTTCGACGACAACGGCGACGGCGGCGAAGGGGACGGCCGCGTCTCAGACCACCGCGGCACAGCCGCGGCAGCCGGCATTGTCCATCATACGGGCAATCTACGGCAGCCAGGGCGTCGCAGGTTTTTACCGTGGGCTGGGTGTGTCCTTGCTGACGTTCATGCCAAACAACGCCATCTGGTGGGCGTCGTATAGCCAGTTAACAAGCTTTGGACAGACTATGGCACCTCATACCTCTATTCATCTCATCCAGGCGATGTCCGGCTGTGCAGCGGGGGCTATTTCGGCAACGCTGACGAATCCCATCGACGTCACCCGGGCTAAGCTTCAGGTTAGTGATACAACTTCTTTCTTGCTAACCGTGGTTGGCTATAAACTTGCAATCGTCACGCAAAGTCGTCATTGGCTGTGTTTGTGTTTTGTTTTTAATGTACAGCCATGTATTGATAATACATGGTTAAAGTGCTCAGCCATGTATTGTTTGGAATAAAACTAAACTTCCAAATACAGTGCTGCTCAATGAAACCCAATCGAGCTTCGCACCCTGCAGGGCCTGCATGAACTCCCCAGTGGTCGCAGGTTAGCGCTGCACAGAGCCCGGCGCGCGCTTGATTCGCACGATCGGATTTCGTACAGCAGGACTGTAGTAGCGAACACAGCTCACGATCTCCACCGGACTGGGCCCTGGGCCCTGGGGGTCCAATGAGGGATGGTGGTGGATGATGTCATTTGTCTGGGGCAGTGATGTCATTGTTTTAGCACTGGGTGCCTTTTCATGCAACAGTGATTATGGAATGAGACAGATGGAGAGCCAATGATTAAACTTATTAAAAAAAGAGAAGACTATAATGTTGCACATTCTGACGCACAAATATCCTGCTTATAATCGTTAGTGTTGGACAAAACGGATAGCTTGTAAACTTACATTATACTGCTGGGTGGAAAGAAAACATGTTTTGTATTACTCACAGTACAATGTTGGCCCAAATGGTTCTACCCGTGGGCACACTCTGCGTGGACTTACTGAACAAACGATTATTATTTTTTGGCTTCCTTGATCTAATCTCTATCGATCGAGTCTCTTCTGTCGTTCACTCGTTTCCGATGTTGACTAGTGCATGCATTTTCGATAGGAGTGACTGGTGCCACTTTGGTGAAGGTGAGCTCATGAGTTCGTGTTGCAGAACAATCCTCGTCACGGAGTCCTGAGCTACTTCGAAAGCACATGCCATATCGACAGTACAGTCATATACCTCTGAATTTGTTTACAGTTTTACACCGGTTTGGCACGAATCACATTATTATTATTATTACAAGTAATAATATTTCGAAGTAGTGGTTGCGACTTCGGCGATGATTTGTAAGAAAGGTTTGCTCCCCACACCGGAGCTCGCGCTATTCCGCCGACTTTACTTGACACTTGACTGACTCACGACTGCCATCCAGAGCACACGAGAAGTCCATCGAACCTTCGACTCTACAAACCTGCAAGAAAGCACCACTCCCTGCTCAATACACAGTGTTTCGGGGAATTCACCCCTCATCAGTTGAGCTTGAGTAGGCTGAGGAAGATTGTGCCTGAAGAGCACCACTTATATAGTGCTCTCCAGGCACAAACATCACCAGGGATACAAACTTACAGAGACGCTCCGCTTCCAACGCGACAAACACCTCGTGAACACCAGATAGCAGCGTGAGTCAGTGTCGCTCCTGGACGGTGAGACAGACGTCGAGGACCCTCGGTCATTCGCAACGCTGTCACCTCCAAACCAACTAGTCGCAAGCCCGCGCTATCACGCTGCTATCTGGTGTTCACGAGGTGTTTGTCGTGCTGGAAGCGGAGCGTCTCTGTAAGTTTGTATCCCTGGTGATGTGTGTGCCTGGAGAGCACTATATAAGTGGTGCTCTTCAGGCACAATCTTCCTCAGCCTACTCAAGCTCAACTGATGAGGGGTGAATTCCCCGAAACACTGTGTATTGAGCAGGGAGTGGTGCTTTCTTGCAGGTTTGCCGAGTCGAAGGTTCGATGGACTTCTCGTGTGCTCTGGATGGCAGTCGTGAGTCAGTCAAGTAAAGTCGGCGGAATAGCGCGAGCTCCGGTGTGGGGAGCAAACCTTTACTATTTATTATTTAAATTTTGAATAGGGCAATCCCCACAGGCCTAAGGCCTTTTTACAGGGTACCCTATGACAGTATGTGGTCACCATCCACTGAGCTGGGAAAGTAGTCAGGCCATGGCCAGTCCAGCCTGAGCGGTTCTGGCGGACCTGCGGCAAGCAATGTTTGTCCATAGCTGCTAGAAAGCCTTTTCACCCAGCTGCATGTGGCAACTACTTACTTGTGCACGCTGCAGCTTCGATCCGTGAATTTGAATCCACTTGTCGTCATGGAAACTGGCCCACGTGATAACAGCAATGAAATGCGAAAGCAGCCGCTTGAAAATGATTATGAAAGCAGACACGCACACTGTGCCGTTGTGGGGGGGGGGGGAACTTCTGTTTGAAGTGGACAAATAGTGAAATGGAAAATGACTATCAGTCCCATGGTATGTAAATGGACATTTCTCCTTATTTGGCACCTAATGGAAAGTACACCAACGAATAATGAATCTGCGGCGTCGTTTCATTGTTTCATGACAGTGCTTTGATTTGTCCTTGGCCGTGCATGTCCTGCCTGGCTGATTGTGTTGCCTGCGTGTGTGTGCGTGTGCGTGCGTGTGTGTGTGTGTGTGTGTGTGTGTGTGTGTGTGTGTGTGTGTGTGTGTGTGTGTGTGTGCGTGTGTCTGTCTAGGTGGATAACTTACCCTCAATATCCAGCACCATCAAGCAGCTCTGGAAAGAAGACGGCATATCATTCTGGTCCAAAGGCCTGTCGGCACGCGTCATGTCGGCTATGCTAAGTAGCACCATAATGATCAGTTGCTACGAGACCATTAAGCGATTGTCACTCAAGGAAGAGTTGAGAAATACGTACGGTCGGTGAGCTCTGACCACACTGAGCTTGGCAACGACATGGCAGTGACGAATTGCCGATGCACCGGATGCTGTTTTAGAGGCGTAGCTTGCGCACCTGTGGTGTGGTGACCATGTATCAAACTGTACAGATCTGGTGTGGTGACTATGTATCACCGGTAACCTCATGGTCGCCATTTTGCCTATTTTGACTATGCAGTACCGTATGACGGTCATTCCCTGGTGACCACGGTCACCATGGTGACCATGGTGACCAGACCACGCTGTCTACACACGAGCTATGTGCCTGTGTTTTACTGGTGACGACTTGACTTACTGGCCAGTAGCGCAGCTGTGCTTGTTCTACTTCCAGTGTATCGCGGGGATTTCCCCGTCTACTCATCCTCCGGCCATGCAGCGTCAAGGTAGGCCGACTGTTCCTCAGTTCTCACGTTCAGACAGAACTGTTGGCTCTTGGCCACAGTCGTGAATGTCTGTGATGGCATGTGAGTGTGGGCCGAGATCAAGCACAACGCCACGGTTTGTATTGACTTCCATGGTTACTAGTAAGTTGATGCAGGCGCAGTCCAGATCAGAGTGGCGAGTTACCACGGCGACTGGTAAGCGGTCGACGCCGCCCTCAGGTCCGAATCCACGGTCAATTGAGTGAGGCAGCATGGACCAGCGCCACGGCTGCCCTGCTGGACTAGCAGTGTGCGACAAAGCATTCCTGCTTCTGTATCGGACTTCGGAGGCTGAGCGTGGATGTGCACTGTGCAGATCTGTAGGGTGAGTGCTGAAGCAAAGAAGCTGCTCTGATTGTCACCAAACATGTCTATAGTAGTGATAACGTATCCGCGGTGAGAGCGTTGCACTGCGGACGTTTGGTCACGTCTGTGAGGTCTTTACACTGTGCCGTAGGCAGCTGGTTGCATTCGCGTGGTCTTTGCACTGCGGACGTTTGGTCACGTTTGTGTGGTCTTTGCACTGCAGACAGCTGGTCACATTTACTGGTTGCCGAATAGTTGCACGTCAGTACAAGTACTAGTTGGAAGATGCAATTGAATACTGGTGTGCTAACAGCGCAACGATCTCCCAGTGAGGTCATGATAGTGTCGCTGCTCCCGCGGCTTTCCACTAGAATCTAGACTCATTGTTTACATGCAGATATGCTTGGAGACTTTTAAAATCTGCTCTGCCACTTGACCCGATACTGCTCGCTTCTGTCTGATGGATGCGAGGTGGTTACGCGTTGCATACGTGCACACTATCCATTTTGCAGCTACATACGTGAACAGACGTATAGTGACCCGGCATGTCAGGACGTGTTGTTCCGCCATGACGTTACATATCAGTTCAATAATAATTATTATTATTATGATGAAATGACCCAAAGGCAATGTGCCTATCGAGGGGTTCATTTGATTGAAAGAACAGTAGATGTAGATGTATGTACAACGACAAGTAGGGATTGATGAGGAGAGAAATGGGGAAAATCAACTGCAAGGTGGCGGAATTCCGTTGATTGCATAAGCATAGTCAGCTGTAAATTTCCTGAGGGCAGCTTTGAACTTATAGAGCGAGGCTTCCGATGTTAGACTGGGGGGTAAACAGTTCCATAGAATAGCAGTTCGGAACATGAAGAGAGACTTAGACAATGATTTAAATTTGGGAAGAATGATTTTATTTGGTCGTCGCTCACTATTCGTAATCTTGAAATGGAAATCAGCAAGGTAATCACGATGATGGAAAACATATCTGTGAAAAGTAGTGAGACTGATGATTATAATAATAATAATTATTATTATTTCAAATGGTGAACGGTACTATTCGGCCAATAAAATGTAAAGAACTCTTCCTCTCCTCTTTAATAATAATAATAACACAGTTGTGCGCAATGGAACATTAATATTGTGCAACACTAATGTTCGGTCCGCTGCTGTCTCTTGATGAATCTTTCCGTTGTTCTTGTTCAGTATCATTAGCTGTAGACCATCGCTCTCCATGCCGGTTTTTCCCTTGTCCTCTCAGTCGCCAGGCCGAGATCCCGCACTGTGGTGAAAGTCATTCCGACCTCTCTCATGTCCTCCGCAACGCTGGTTGCCAACGTCTTTCTTGGGCGCCCTGGCCGGCCTCGGGAGTCTTGGGTCAAGTAGATGTTCATGGCTTTGCGGGCGGGCGTGTTGGGGGACATTCTCAGGATGTGTCCTGTCATTCTCCTCCTTCGCTGTTTAATCAGGGTGGATATTGGGCAGGTTTCACAATGTTCATACAGGCGTTCATTGCTGACTTTGTCTTGCAGCTTGATACCCAGGATGCATCGAAGTTGCTTTCTGTGGAGCACGTCAACCTTGGAGAGGTTTCCCGCCGTCAATCCCCACGCCTCACAGTTGTATAGGAGACTCGGGAGGACAAAGGCACTGTACAGACGTAACCTTCTCGTCTCTGCGATGTGCTCTCTCCTCAGCCACACTGCATACATCCGTCCGAAAGATGTTGACGCTTGACTCATTCGTCTGACACAGTCTTCCTCCTCCCCAATCAATGATCCAAGTTGCTTCGAAGTCTTCCAATCGTGTGAGTCCGCTGTCAGATGTATCCACTCAGTCTTCGATTGGTTGACATTTAAGGACCACGTACCGAGAGTATCCGATAGTATAGGCAGACTGGCCTCCAGCCATTTGCGGTCCCTTGAATAGAAATTGATGTCATCCGCATATCCGGTCTCGTGGGGGAGTAGGTTGTCTGTTGCTGGTCTGCTTGGGAAGTTGGCTCTGCACTCATGTAGTGCAGCCTCGAGGTAGCATATAAATAGCACAGGACTGAGGCCATCCCCTTGTGGGGTACCAATCGTGCTGCGAAACGGTTGCGATGTGGCCATATCAGTTCAATGCTGTGTCCTAATTTCCTAATCTAGAATATCTTTGTGACAAATCACTGAATGCCCCGTCACTCTAATTATGTACACACACAGAAGAACGAGCCGTGAGTTGAGTTGCGGTTTCGTAACTCTCAGTTTCACGTGTATAGTTGATTTCCAACCAACTAGCAATTTCAACCTTAACCCTTGATCTCTCTCATTAGCAGAGCTCAAAGGGGATAGCACAACAATGGCAATGAAGGTGTAGACCGCGTAGTTCTGACTGTTAACTTCTTGATTTAGCTTCACTGTGCATGGACCGGACCCTACACATACGCATGCGACCAGAGCAATGTGATGGATGATTATGTGTTTAAATGTAGCGCCCATTCCATTGTACCAATAGAACATATAAAGCTCCCACGGGAGCTTATTTATTTACTCTTGATAGTACGGGAGAACCTGTCTTGTTATGGTATATAATTATACACTTTTAATTACAGTATTACTGTAAAAGCAGAACATTTCGGTGGTGTTTTATTTTCGGTGACTTTGGTGCCGAAGTTTTTACGGAAAATGAAACGCACCGGAACTTTCGGTATACAGTGTAGTACATGACGTCATTGTACTAACATTAGACGTTAGTACACTTCTCGTGTGCTCTGGATAGCACGGTCGTGAGTCAGTCAAGTGAGAATTCAAGTCGGCAGGAAAACCGCGAGCTCCCATGTAGGGAGCAACACACTCTTCCCCTACTGTCGCCGAAGTCGCACCAACCTCTTCTTCACATTGTTGTCCCCAGCGCGGGCTTGCGAATTAGATGGTTTGGAGGCAACAACGTTGTGAATGGCCAACGGTCGTCAGCGCTTGTTCAGCACCTCCATGAGTGACACTGACTCGCGCTGCTGTCTGGTGTTCACGAGGTGTTTGTCGCGCTGGAAACGGAGCGTCTCTGTAAGTTTGTATCCCTGGTGAGGTTTGTGCTTGGAGAGCACTATATAAGTGGTGCTTTTCAGGCGCAATCGATCTTCCTCAGTCTGCTCAAGCTCAACTGATGAGGGGTGAATTCCCCGAAACACTGTGTATTGAGCAGGGAGTGGTGCTTTCTTGCAGGTTTGCCGAGTGGACGGTTCGATGGACTTCTCGTGTGTCCTGGATGGCAGTCGCGAGTCAGTCAAGTGAGAATTCAAGTCGGCAGGAAAACCGCGAGCTCCCATGTAGGGAGCAACACACTCTTCCGTTAGTAAGCTAACTAACACTTACCTGGAAAACGGGTTTACCGAAAATTTCCCTCCACCGAACCTCCGATTTTGGAGAATACGGAACATATTACACCACCGAAGATTTAAAAATAGCTATGAAAAGTATGAATGCCGCAGACATCACCACGCAACATGACAATTTGTTCAAGGTTTAGTATACTGTGTTCCAGAATCGATTTTCAAGCTCCGATCATCAGTGGAAATACGGAACCGAAGATTTCTTTAAATTTCTGCTTTTACAGTATGTAAGCCGCTTGGTTTTTACCGCGTAAGCTTTTGCTGGATCAGAGAGGTTTTCTGGCCGGATTAGATGGGTTCAGTGCTGCTCAATCGACCTCTGCCTAGGCTCTGGCCTAGGTCAAGTGATGACAAGTACTACTTCGAAGTAGTGCCAAGCGCTGCGCAGTCCTACTACACAGCCTCTTTTACGGGCAAAATAAACACAATGATAATTTTTCCCAAGTGTTCCAAAAACTTCAAAGTTCTAGAAAGAAAAAAAACACGCAAAAAAACAGAACAGCATAATAATGTACATGACTGTACATGTATATACCTACTTAGGTAAACAGCAGCAAGTCCTACTTGTACAAAAACCACTTTTACTTGTTACGTTAGTAGGTTGCAGACCCGTGTCTGTGATTGCCAAGCTACTTGCACCGGAATCATTGTGTGAGCTGGTAGATCTACATGGTGGCTGCAGGGCGCATAATCATTGAGCTGCAGTGTCAGTATACTATAGAGTTAGCAAGCCTCATCAGTACTAGATCTATGTGACGTCAAGAAGTGCATGCTATGAGTATGACTGTATGGGCATCAGGCTCAGTCATGGCGTCATGCAGGGAGTCCCGCCCTGACGACTGACGTAGCCCCGGGTCCTTTCGAAGCGGTTCCTGGCTGTCTAGAATCTATTGGTGACACGCGTGCAGATCGTCACCATGGTCACCACTGCTACTGACTGCTGTGGTTGTTAACCTACGAAAGTATTGTAGGTCTCCGCAGCTCTGACGAATCCTCGAACCCAGGTGACGAATCTGCAATCAGCATTCGTTTCGTATCCGTACGCGTGGTGCAAAAGGTCCCTACTATCCAGGTATCTCCGCCGACCTGAGGTCTCGGGTTCAGTACCACTTCAGTGCACAAGGGAGTGGGGAATAGTAGACAAAAGGGAAGGGTAGAGCACATAGTCATTGTTTACAGCAGACGGTGGAAAACGGAAAGATAATAACAGATCAAAACGGAGGAGCCAGGGTTCAATCAGAGAGGATCTTCATCGAGGGTTCAGAGGGTATCAGTGGCTGAGTGCCAGTCGCGACTGTGAAGAGACCTCCTTGAATGCCTGGGAAGGTCACACAGCATGCAGCAGGGCACCGGGGAGGCGATTCCATTCCTTCTTGGATCGTGGCGGCGGGGACTGATCGGAGAGCACTATTGCGAGCTCCAAAGCACTGAGTGAGATATCTGGCGCAGCCTCCAATTCCTTCGTCGCAGCCGTCTGATACCCTGCCACCACTGCCAGCAGGCCCAGCACGCCACTTTCTCCACATTCCCATTTCTTTTCAAGATATGGGAAAGGAGGAGGATGGGGGGGGGGGGGGAGGGCGGGGGGTGGTGATCAGCACCATTGACAACAACTGCTCGACATCATCTCGTCCTGTACCTCGACCTTACCTCACCCTGCTCCTCGACATCATCTCGCTATCCTCCAGACATCGTTGCCTGTTGGGTTTGAGGTGGCCGATTGGAGCATACTATGTTTGATATACGGATGTTTAGTCCTTGTGCTGCTTCGAACCCCTTTGCCTTCGCTGTGCATGTACGTCAGGAGAGAGATAGTGTGTGGGAGAGAGAGAGAGTGTGTGACTGCGCGCGTGCGTGTGTATGTGTGGTGTGCGCGTGTGTGTGTGTATGGGTGTGTGTGAAAGAGAGAGAGAGAGAGAGAGAGAGAGAGAGAGAGAGAGAGAGAGAGAGAGAGAGAGAGAAGAGAGAGAGAGAGAGAGAGAGAGAGAGAGAGAGATCCGCCGCCTCAACCGCTTCCACCGGTCCTCGATCCGGGCTATACTGGACGTCTCCACTCAGCGATTGGA